ACGGTTGAGGAAATTGGGAGGAAGATGGCTAAGGGATGCAGGGTTTCTTTTTTAGGTGAGGAAAATACTCTAAAATTGACTGTTGATGGATATACAATGCAAAAGCCATTAAACCACACACTTTAAATTGGTGACTTGTGGTTAGGCGCAGTGGCTCTTGTCTGTAATCCCAGCACTTTGGGAGGCAGAGGTGAGGACTGCCTGAGCCCACAGGTTTGAGACCAACCTGGGCAACATGGTGAGACCTTGTCTCTACAATAAATTTAAAAATTAGTTGGGTGTATGGCGCATGTCTGTAGTTCCAGCTACTTGGAAGGCTGAGATGGAAGGATGGCCTAAGCCCAGCAGGACGAGGTTGGTGGCTATGAGCATGCCACTGCACTCCAGCCTGGGTAACAGAGTGAGACTCTGACTCAAAAAATAAAATAAAATAAAATAAAATAAGTCAATTGGCGACTTGTACGATATGTGAATTATGTATCGACAAAGCTGTTAAAAAAAAAAAAAAAAACCAGCCGGGCGTGGTGGCTCACGCCTATAATCCAAGCACTTTGGGAGGCCAAGGTAAGAGGATTGCCTGAGCCCACTGGTTCGAAACCAGCCTGGGCAACTTGGTGAGGACCTCATCTCTACAATAAATCAAAAAATTAGCCGGGTATGGTGGCACATGCCTGTAGTTCCAGCTACTTGGAAGGCTGAGGCAGAAGGATCACCTGAGCCCAGCAGGTTGAGGTTGCAGTGGCCAGGAGTATGCCACTGCCCTCCAGCCTGAGTGAGAGAGTGAGACTCCTACTCAATAAAAATAAAAAAAAACCACCAGCAAGCCTACAGCACCAGCCTGGAAGAGGGAAACCGAACACTGCTTGAACTATCATAGCCCATCTCCCAAAAAGCCAAGGGGTCCCACTTAAACTTTCATGAAGGGTGAGGGGAATAAGGAACAGGGAATTAGAGAAGAGATTACAACTTGCTTCAGAGCAATGAGTCTAACCTCCCTCCTCACTACCTATTTCATGGATGAAGAAACCAAGACCCAGAAAGAATTGCCTGAAGACCATACCAAAGCTTAAGTGCAGAAACAGGACTCAAATCCATGCTGCCTGGGCAAAGATCCCTTCCTGCTTCCCCACCAATTCCAGTTGGAGTAAGAAGAGCCAAAGGAATCAGCAGGCTTCTAGATGGCAAATGATGGGTCTTTGCCACCAAAAATAGATTACTAGGAGTGGACAAAGGCTCCTAGGAAGAACCAAGATGATCCTTGGCAAACTGACCATTCTGGGCAAGAGGAAGAACCAGTCAAAGTCCCAGGTAAGCAAAGTCAGATATTCACACACTCAATAACTCTGGACATGGGTGGATTTTTGCCAAAGAGCAGTTGAGGAGTAAGTAGTTTGCCTAAAGTCATAAAGCAGCTAAGCAGGTAATACCGGGGTTTGAATTCAAGCCTGTATGGCTTCAAAGCCCAAACTCTTTCCATACACAATTCTATCTCTCCACACTATTCAACAGGCCCCTGGTGGGAAACCCCACCAAGCTTATGCACTACAACACAGCTGGCCACAAAAAGTGCTGCTCATCAACTCTGAGACTCACACCAAACAGGCCACTTGTCCTGGATGGCTGGGAGGGGACAACGGAGCAGGGAAGGAGTCTAGATTCTCCTCAAGAGACACCCACCATTCTCTATCACCTCCAGGTCCAGAGGACTTTGGACCGAGTTCCCTAAAATCCCAAAGCTGAATGTCACCTCACCAGCACCTTACCTGACCAGTGAGGAAACTGAGGTCCAGAGAGCATAGACAGATTCTGGTTCATCCAGCAAAGCCCGGACAGGCTCACAGTTGGAACCCAGGCACCGACTACAGTGCCACATCAGCTTCTTCTACCACCTCAGCATGCATGCCCCTTCTCAAAGGGGTCTTTGGAGTCCCTAAATTCAGAAGGCTTGTAAGTCAACCTTTTCATAGGGTGTACTCTCAGCAAGGCAGTCATGCCTGGGAAAGGAAACCCCTGACATCACCACCTCCCCAGCACCTAGACCCCAGTGTGCCAAAAAAACTCCTAAAGGGTATAGCCAAAGAACTGAGACAAACAAGAATCCCAAGTAGTCAGAGCCAGGAGCAGATGTGCCATCCAGATTCCCTCTCAACAACTCCCCTATTCCCAAGGGAATCCAACTGGCCTCCAGGCTATAAACACCAATGACAGTTTAGGACCAAGATTGGGATGACAGGAAGAATTTTCCCTTCTCATTCCCAAAAGGTTCCAAGTTGGACCAGGTGAGGCATGTAGAAGAGGAGCATCATCTTTGTCCCAAGAAGCAGAGGAGACAGAAAGCCTCTCCTCCGTCATTGGGAAGAGTAGGTTTCATGACCCCACAGAGCTTTACTTTCATAGGCTTGTGGAGACAAGAATAAGGAAGGGACTGCAAGGGGTGGGGGTGTGAGGAGGTGTTTTTTTCATTACCATGGCAGCACAGGACCTTCTTCTCTGTCCCTGGAACCAGGGATGTATCACTCTCTGTTTTTGTCAGGGAAGAGAGACCTTACCTCAACCAGAGAGAAGAAACAATTCCTGGTCCTGACCCTGTTGAGTCCAGATGATTTATCCTGCCAGAAGTAATAATGGGTGGGACGAGAACAAGAACAAGGAGCTCAAGACAAGGCCCTGGCCCCGTTAAGTACAGAAAGATTTACCTGAGCTAAAGGGAAGGGGGATGCGGGAGGAGAACTTCCCCAGAGTGGGGATGTCTTAAACTCCTTCTTTGTCTCTGGGAAGAAAAAAGCTTGTCGAGAGCAGTTCAGAACTTAGAATATTTCCCTGACCCTGGAAGTAGGAAGCAAGCACAGCTGGGTCAGGGAAAGATTCAGAATCTCTCCCAGTTCCAGAGAGAAAGCCTCAGGCCCCACATCTTCAAGACCTGACAACCTTCTCACAGAAAGTAGGAGGCCCTTCTTGGTCCTGGCCATGAGAGGCTCAGGATGAGGGGGTCTTACAACCCTAAAGAGCACCCAGGCCCTTCTGTCCAATGGGAGAGGCCTCTAGCCACACTGAAGATGACCTCATGTTCTTCTCCCTGGTTAGACTGCCTGGTGTGGTGGAAGGAACCTCATGCCCAAGGGGGAGCCCAGGTCCTAGTCTCTCAGGCTAAGGATCTCTTGGGGAAGGTCAGGCCCTTGGGAAGAGAATCAGACTCTTTTTCTCCAAATCCCACCCCACTCATGTCCCCAAGGGGAGTGAGAGTCTGAGGCCCAAGTTCCCAAGACAAAATCTTATGTTCCTAAAAGGCTCCTATAACTGGGATGTACATATGTTGCCTGAAGTGAGGTGACAGTACTCACAAAGTAGATTCAGGTTTCAGGGCCTAAGGTGGGGAACAGGCCTTTACACACTTGATATCACGTTCAAACCCTTTGGGTGAGATTCAGGACTCTGCCTCCCAGGGACCCTGCATCCATGCCTCAAGACAAGGGTCTCAGGGCTCACCTCTGGAGAGAGGAGTCCTTCTACTACTGAGGGGTTCCTCCAGTTCCTTGAGGAAGCTCAGACCTTATCTCTAGAGACACAACAGTCATTGGTATATGTAAAAATCTCCTGTCCCTGAAGGAAAGCTCAAATGTCCTTGGCAGAGTGGGTCTCAGGCCCTTGAAGGTAGGCTTAGATTTGTAGGGAGGACTCAGACATCAAGTCTGGGATTCTATGCTGTCTATGTTCCCTAAGGAGTGGTCTTAGGCTCAAGTTCCCAAGGCATATATATCCCCAAGAAGAACTCAGGTCCATGTGGGGAGGCCCTCAGAGCCCTGTTACCTAAAGACAGGATGTCATATCCCCAAAGTGTATTTTAGTCTCTTATAATTGGGGTAGAAGAGTCCTTGTGGAGAGGGTCTCAAACCCCCCAAAACACTCAGACACCACTCCTGAGGAGAAAGGTCTCCTAAAGACCTCACCCTCCCTGTGACCTCTGCAGCAGGATATCAGGCCCTTGAAGAGACCTCACACCCAGTCTCTAAAAGCCCCAGTTCATAAGCAAGAGGATCTTAGGCCCCAGTACCAAACACTGTGAATCTCATTTTCTTGAAAAAAGGCTCAGGCCCTTGGTGGAGTGTGAGGGCTCATCCTTTAGAAGCTTAAGACCCTGAAGAGATTCAGACCCTTGTCTCCAAGGAGCGAGGTCTCAAGTCATGAATAGGAAACATAGATCCCTGTCATGGAGAAGGGGAACGAGTTTCATGTACTCAAGCAGAGTCGCTGGTCCCTGGGTATTGGTTTTGGCCCTTGTCCCCCAAATGAGGGGTGGGGGTGGGAATCTTACATCCCTGGAGAAAAGCTCAGAGCATTCCACTCTCTACAGGGTGTGTGTACATGGTGTGTCAGTCCATTGGTTCTAGAAGAGGGAGTGTCTCAGGCCCCTGAAGGCAAGCTTAGAACCCTTGAGGTCTCAGGTCCCACTGTTGAGTGATCCTGTGACATGTTACCAAGTGAAGCAGGAAGTTGTTTTGTATGCAGAGCATCTCCAACTCTTGAAAGGGTTTTAGGTTCCTTGGGCATGCTCAGACCTACTTCTGAGCTCTCCACCATATTTGAGTTCCCTGGAGGCGGAATCTCAGACTCCTATCCCAGAGAAAAAGAACACAGACCTAGGTCCCTTGGAGAGACTTGACATCCCTGCTCAAGAGGAACTGGATTTTGCCTGTGTCTCTTGGAGAATTCTCACTTACTGGCACAACAAGATGAGGTCTCTGGGACTGAGATGACAACTATAGGTCCTAAAAGAGGCCTCAGACCTCATCTTTAAGTCCGTCACTTTATCTAGGGCCTCTCACCCCAAGTCCCTAAAGGGGAGGAAAGATGATGTTTAATGCCACTACCACCAGAGCAGTGTCAGGCTCTGCAAGCAGGCCTAGGTCCCTTGGGGGCGATCTCAAACCTTCCGTGGGTCCCTTCTTAGTCTGGGGGTCCCATTTGCCAGAGCCACCCACTCCTCACTCCAGAGCTCTTACCTGCTCGACAGTGGCAGGGTCCATAGCCTCGATGCGTGCTGCAGCCGCTTCATACTCGTCCTCACTATTGTAGCCGGCGCCAACCTCCTCACGTTCTGGACTGCCCCCGCCAACTGCACCAACCCCAGGAGCTTGACGTCGCCTCTTGCTATGCCCGGGTCCCGAGCAGCATCCACCTACGCCTACGGCACCGCCCACGCCCACC